CACGATCTGATATGCTACAAAGTGGTGCTTTTCCACCTACCTTTAGCTGGCAGTCTTCGTTCACGGCCAGGTTGCCTGGCTTCAGGTCCTACAACAGACAAGAGCAGAATAATAAGGATGTTTTGATTCACAACGCATCAACACGAGCCTCAGCCAAACCTCTGCTTGCCTTTGACAGGATCCCGTAACATCCTGAGCCCAGTGCTGATAGAGCAAAGACACCATGCCTCCTATGCTGTATGGCTTTAGATTACGGTTATATTTTTTCTGAAACAGTTTTAATTCAAAAAGCATCATAAAATGCCTCACAGCTTGTCAAAAAATACAGCATTTCCTTAAAACGCTGCACAAATGAGCAAATCCAAACACATTTAGGGCGTAGGAGTGAAAAGAGGGAGGACGCCAGAGAGACCTTAGAGCAGACGAGGCTATTAGCAAAATGATGTTGAGGAATTGATTAACTTTACGACCAAGCTGTGTTTCTCCTAAACAGACAAAAATCAGAGTAACAGCGCACATGAACTTACCCTGTGGATGATTCCGGCTGAGTGAATATACTGCAATAAAAAGAGAAGCCGTGATGTGATCACCGGCAGACAAGACTTTCTGTTCTCCAGCAGAGAAATGAGAGCTACGAACGAGAACTTGCTGAGAACACAACTCTGCAGCCTGCTGCAGGCCCCCGGCCCCCAGGGCAGCCGATTGAAAAGAAATCTCCCCACTGAATTTCTGACAATATTTGCAATTATATTGCCAGTCTAAAGAAGAGGCATAGAGCTGAGAGGGCTGGAGCAACAGTTCCTCACAGCGAATAAACAAACAGCTTCAAGCTATCCAACAAAGGATTACAGGTGGGAACATGGTCAGTAAACGGCATGAAAACATTGTTGGTTTGGGTGTTAGACTATGTGGGAAAAAAACCCTCGTAATTAAAACACAAAATTGGAGATCAGATTTGAGTTGCCAAAACAAACGACATGGCTTTTATCACACCAGTTAAGCCTTCTGTGTGTTCTTCCCCCCCCTTTATTTAAACTCAACAGTGCCCTGGGGAAAGGCGTTATTAAGGGGAACTCATTGATGCCTGTAAGGCACTGCTCCGACCCCGGGTGAGGGGCATTACAGAGGGCAGCGTTAAGAACTTGTCTCTGCATCTCAGGGTTTGCAGGGATTGCTTTCTGCTCTCTCATAACCAGTTAAAGCAGCATATTCCTTCCTTGTTCTGTTGAGTATGAAATCATTCCCACTGTCTTCTCCCCCAAGAGCCTCTCTTAGGAATTCAGCAGAAGCTCAGCCTCTTCCTTTCTACGCAGAGTTTCGCTAAGGGTTTGGGCAAGTCAAAGAGCGACGCAGCCGCTGCCACGGAAAAACACATTGCAAGGTCTGTGACTGCCGACTGCTTCGATACCCGATTGACTGAGGTGAACAAGCAGTCATTTTGATGGACGTGTGCTGGAACAAGAGTAGTTCGACAGCAAATATCTGTTCTCGGGGGAAGCCACAAAGCCCCAGATCTTCCTGTAGAGTGTTGGAAGGGGGGGTTGTTAGGGTCAACCCAGAGGTGACACGTAGAGGAGACACGCGGAGTCACTAAACTCCTCCAGACCCACCTACCTTCAGCCCTTTCAGCATTTGGTAGACCAGGTACTGGATCTTTTCATCACTGAATTCATGTCCCATGATCTTTTGTAAATCAGTCCGCATGTATGGCATCACCAGGTAGCTAAAAGGCAGTAAGACAAGGCCCTGAGTCTAGAAGAAAAACATAGGGAGCCAGGCTAGCCTTGATCTCACTTGGGCTTGGGTTTTTTTGTTGGCTGTGTAACTATGAGTTGGTGTGACAGTGTTTCTGGCTAACCAGCACAGCCTGCAGTGACGCTGGGGTTTTGACCTGCTCTGAAAATTGCCCTTTTTCCTCCCCTCAAATCAGATATCTGACATCAAGTAAGAACAACGATCTTCCAAACTTTAATGATCCTGAATTAATTTACTTTAGCCCTCAAGTGATGTTCAATTCCGGGCAGCTTTACACCATCGGGGAGCTGAAACATCTTGCACAGCTTTGAAGAGCCTTGCAAAACTGCCGCGTTGGCTCCCAAATTTATCTTTGTAACACTCTCCAGCCCTGCCTCGGAAGACAACATCTAGCTTCCTTCAGTCTTTGGCTTGCCTGCCGAGACTGCCAATTAGTTGATGGTCTTCCAGCAGGAACTGCTCTCGGAACCTTCAAACACTTTTCCTGCAGGCTGCTAAATACCCAGCCATGAGCCAAAAACCCAAACCCAGGCACATGCTGCTCGCGCCCGAGGATGGGGGAAGGGAAAACGACTCGTCCAACCTGACCATCAACACCAAGGGAAATGCCAAAAATAAAATAATAAAAAAAAAGGTCAGAATCAAGATGAAAAGAAAGCCAGATCTTTAAAATTCTCCGTTTAATTACCCCAGGGCCTGATGACCGATACTGCTCCCATTCCGAGTGCAGCCCCTTAGCTCAGCAGCCACACAGGCAGTGCTTTAGCGTGGATCGCGCTACGTGTGATACGCCAGGGAACGTAACGCCTCTTCATTCCCTACGTTGGTCTCTACACACCGTGTTCTCCCAGCTGCGAGCACAGCACGAGATCTGTTTATGTGTTCTGTGTGTTTTAGCCATGGGAACTGTCTTGTGCTCTTGATTATCCCAGTTATTTGGGGACATTCAGCTTTAGTCTGGCCCCTTTTCAACTCTGCTGGACTGCACCTCAACCTGATCTATTATCCTGCTGCTAAGTCCCGGGTGTCTCAGGCAATAGCTGAGTCTAGACAGAGGGAAAAAACTCCAGACTTACAAGTCCTGGAATCCCTGGTAGGAGGTGGCAGAGGTGAAGACATCAAGCAGCCCGATGACCTGATGGAGGAGAGAAGTCCACATTTAAACCTGGAAAGCATTTGCCATGCACATGGGACTTGGGTAGCAGCTCTCCAACAGCAGACACACGTGGGTGAGCACCGAGAACTCCATCTGAGGAATCCAAGGACTCCTCGCTATGCTGCGCAGCTGCTTTTCCTCTTACTAATACACAGGAGCACCCATTACATACCTGCTTCAGCCGGGTGCCAACCGGGCACAGCAGACAGGCAGCAGTTAAACCCAAGACTGCCTGCACGTGCCAATTAAAGTAAAGGTGATGCCACCAGAAAGGACTTGCTCCTAGGTGGTGAGAACCCCCCCTTGTTTCATCAGGAATGGAGAGAAATGAGTACTTACGTTCTCATGTTGCATGTGCTTCAACAACATGAGCTCTCTGTATGCTCTCTTGGCAAAGATCTCCGACTGGAACGGGCGGCAGAGCTTCTTGATAGCCACTTTCTCCCCCGTCTTCTTGTCTATGGCTGAACTGCAGCAGACAAATAAAACCCAGTTCTGACACTGGCAGTTATGTTTTAACAAATTTTGCAATACCAAAGGTCTTCTCCTAGAGAGGAGCCAATTCTGGAGCTCACAAAGAAAGGCCCCTTGAGAGACCCAGTGGAGCTCTGCACACACAGATGTTACCCTGAGTGGCTCCGGGCAGCAGAACATGGCCCGTGCTCTTTGGGATACCGAGCAAAGCATTAGCGGCTCGGCTTCATTCCCTTGAACCTGCAGAAACAAGCTGGAGCTAACAAGGCTGCGAGAACCACAAATGGGTAAAGCTCAGGACCAGTTCTACCTCTGCCATCCCCTAACGCATGGAGGTAAGGGAATAAAACAATTTCTGCTTTGCCATCTGCTTGGAGATTGTCATCTCTTAAGATATCAGCCGCCTTCGCTGTATTCCGGAGCAAAGACAGGGCATGCCACGCGCTGAAAACGCAGGCTGCTGGAATTAATTCTCCATCTTTGACGCTCTGCACATGCTTCTGTGTAAAAGCAGGTCTGGCTGAAAGTGAGAGTCTTTTATAAAGCTCACAAAAAGATGGTACCACAGCCATTGCTGGAGATGGGGCATGTTGTTCCCTCTGGTCACACTGACTGTTTGCAGCTGGACAGGGCGACCCTGCAACACTTCCTCTGCTTCTGGAGGCTCCTTGATCAGGCCCCAGGTTTTACCAGGTGAGAAGTGGGGAGGGAGAAAGAGCTGCAATTTGGGATTCTCAGTGGTGTTTTCTGGGGGGGCTCAGTGCACCCCATTGCACAGCAGTGCCTCAGCCCTTCCTTCACCCCTCCAAGAGGAAAAAAAAAAAAGGGTTTTCCCTTGCCAAATGGCGCTGGGGTTTCCAGAGCAGTTCCCCCCACTTTGTAAATCCTTATCTTGCCTCCTGGGGAAACAGAAGGGCATTGACCGGTGTGTTCAGTCCCACGGCTTTTGGCTGCACAGGGCAACCGAGCCCAAGTGAACGCGGGCATTCGCACTTTGCACGCGTCCGCCAGCCTTGCGCAGACGCATTTCCCTGCTTCCTTCTCCAAAGGGACGCGTGATTCACCCCGCCACAGTCCCCGACTGCCAGGCTCCAGCCACCGCTCCTTCCTTGAGGCTCTCGGAGGACCCGAGACAGGGAGGGGCAGGTACCATAAAGCTGTAAAACAACATTACCGTGACCTCCAGGGCCGTCACTCGGAGGCCGGATTTCATAAACAGGGAAATGTCTCCTGTAACACCCCAATGAAACGGTGCGTTTTGCTGGGGTTAGGGCTGATTGCATTCAGGAGAGGTGGGAATATCCCGCTCCGTGTGGCTTTCCCTTCAGTTCAGTGCTGAGGAGGGGTTATCAGTTCCTTGCTGCAGATCTTGGAAGTCTCTTGCACAGCTTTCTCCGCTTGTCAGCCACAAGAGATCGGCTGTGGTGCATCCTCCGGCAGTCTGGGCTATCAACAGTTCTCATCACCCTCCCCGATACCATCGGGCAATCTCCCTGCTCTTGGCCACCGAGGTCCCTCCAGTCACTCCAAACTATGCGTGCCAAGAGCAGACGCATCCTTCGGGAGGTGCGATGGAGACTTCCTCAGTGCATTCAGCCGGGAAAAGCAAAGGAAGTGCTGGAACAGCCACACCGGGCAGCTTCAGCCCTGAAGATGGCATCGGGTAGCTTAGGAGGGCAGTGAAGAGTTGTCTCCGTTTCAGGACTTCAGCAGGTGTCGGCAGAGGGGACAGCTCCCTGTAAAGTCTTCTGAGGAGCCAGGGAAGTAAGAGGAGGGGACTCGGACCACCGTAGTCCAAGAGCCTCTGCAGAATTCAAGGCAGATTTCCTCACCTGAGGGTGCGTGTTCTTTACCTGCCCTCCCAGCTGCAGGCCTACAGAGCACCCAACCCCACCACTCAGCACAGGGAGCCGGGGGGACGGAGCTCGTGCCCAGCACCAACAGCGGTACTTTCACCCTCGCCATGAGGCACGGCTAGGAGTTAGCCCGGCGAGCCCACCGGCTTCTCCCCAGCGCAGGTGTAATGAACGGCTCAAGTCGGGGATGACACCGGGCAGGCAGAGCTGTGTCCCTGCCTTGGCTGGCAGAGATCGGCAAGACCAGCATTGGAAGGGTCAGAGGGCTCTTCTTCTGCAATCACGTTCAGCTGGAAGCCAAATCACTACAGATTTTGGCAGAATTAATCAGGGCAGAAATGCATCTTTGCTGTTTCCCCCCCCCCCCCCCCGAGTTCAGTTTTTCAGCTGCTCAGGGAGGTGTCAAAGCCAGCAGCTCCCAATAACGCTGTGACAAGAAAGCTTCCCAGCAGTTCCCAGCAGAGGACAGCAAATCCTAACACCACACACTTGGCTTTGCACCAAACCCTCCCTGCTGAGCACCCTCCCTGCAGTACCACCACCCCCCGGGACCCAGGGCTGCTGTAGCACCCACCCCTCCATCCCAGAGACCTCCACAGCAGCCGAGACTTTCACAGGGACCAGTAAAAGATTTGTCTTATTATGGTTTGGGGTTTTTTTTATGATGGGCAAGGAAACTTTGCAAGGATTTCCCTCTACCCTTTTACGCCCTGTCTCTATTTTCTTTTAGTCTTCCTGCTTTCCCCTATAAAAACCAGAAGACACTGTACAAATATTAAAAAAAAAGGTCAAGTTTAGTCTTGCCCAATTTTGCAGGACTCCTTTAAGCGTCTCAGAAGCTTAAATGCACCTGGACAGCAATGCAGGGAAAGGGAACGGGGCGCCTCTTTGTAAACAGGCAGCCAGGGGACAGGGACAGAACCTGGGCCCCAGAGTTTCTGGATCCGTGCCGTGGCAGCCAGCAGACTTTGCCCAACACCTACAAAAGGGGACACACCTTTTTTTTTGTTTTGTTTGTTTTTTGATTTTTTTTTTTTTTTTTAAAGCTCAGCCTGTTATGAAACCAGGGCTCCGTGCAGATCCCATCAACGGGCTGCTCCATATTTAACCTTTCAAAAAGTTGCCCATCTCCTCTGGTTCACCAGTGTAAACCAAGCCACATCTGATCTCTGCTCGCTCTCGCTACAGGCACCTTTGCCCAACCGATTAATTAACAGCAGCTCGTGCCGCTCACCCGTAGGTTGAGGATTCTCAGCTGCCAGGAAGTCCCAGCCTGTTACCGATCCTGCGTTACAATATTTTCTATTTCATAATTCCAAGGTGGGGGTCAGAAATTCTCCCTTAGTGCAGGCTTGAGACCAAGGAGGCTCAAAAGCCACCTGACCCCCTGAGCCAAGGTGACAGCCCAGGTGACAGCCCAAAACCACCTCGCTGCACCTGGCAGCCCTGCCTACCTGCTCCTGCCTAAGGACACCCGTCAAGGCAGGAAACTTTCCCCTCCCTGCCCACCCAGGGCAACCACAGGAGGAAACATCTCGGTTTCTTGAAGCAACCAAGTCTCCAACCCGCTGCCGGCACCGGAGCGGGAGGCAAACCACCTTCATCACACATGCAAATGGCCTTTCCTAATGGAGGGGTGCCGACAGGCACCTCCTCGTTTCCCCCCCGGCGCGGTACTTTCAACACCCCCAGCTCGCCCCTTGCTGCCGACCCCACTCACCACACCGAGCCGTAGGCTCCGGACCCCACGGGGTGGAGGGACGTGTATCTCCTGGGCAGCTCCCAGAGGGTCCTGTTCACCTCCTGTCTGTAAAAGCCTCTTCTCCTTGCGATGTTCATCGCCCGGCGGGTGCGGGACTGCCACCCCCCCAGAGTACCGGAGTACGGGAGGGCTTCTGGGGTGAGAGCGCGACGGCGAGGCCTCCTGCGCTGGTGAAAAAGGCTCTAGCGAGTTTCCTCCTCGGCTGTCAGCTGTTGGGAGCGTGAAGGGACATGACTCGGGGCCCTCCTCCCTCCGCCTCCACATTG